GCGTGTGCATCCGTGAGTTCCGCGCGGCCGAACAGGAGGCGGCGCGCCGCATCTTCTACGACGGCATCATGGAGCGCATCCCCAACACGGCCTTTCGCGGCCTGCGGCAGCATCCGCGCACGCAGTTGCTCTACGCCCTGCTGGCGGGTCAGTGCGGCGGCGCCGGGCGGGGGCCGGGCGGGGACTGGCGCTCCGGGGCCGCAGCGGGCCGGGCACACTCCTCGGGCCTTCCGTCCTGCCGCAGTCCGCGCTCGCGGGGCCCTCTGGGGCCAGTCGTGCAAGACCCCCCCCCCCTTCCTAATCAGAGCCGCCGCCCCGAACCCGGGCCGCGCTGCTGTCCTCGCCTGGGCCCCGCCTGGAAAGGAAGCGGAGCCGCGGCGAACCCGCCGAGCGCACTGGACCCACGGTGACACGCACCCGCGCCAAGGCTGGCCGCTCGCCCTGGGGCCGGCTTGGCCGGCTCCCTGACCGAGGCCGCGGGGCGCCAGGCCAGGAGCGTGGGAACTAGCGCGGGGCGCTGCGGGGGCCGAGAGGCGCGGGGCTGGCGGTGGGGGGCTTTTCTGCGTCGCCGGTCCCTCTCGGCCGGGCCCCCTCCCCGGGCATCCCGGATGGGGGCGGGGGTGACGGGGCAGGTAGCGCCCGCTGCTGAGGCTCTGCGCTTGGTGCGTGTAACTATATATAATCCGCGGGGCGGGGGAGGCTGCCTCGGCGGCTCCAAGTGCTAATTTATGAGGGGAAGACAGCCAGCTCCCCGGGGTGCTAGGAGAGGGTGTGCGCCGGGGAGGCAGAGCTAGGGGGCGCGGGAAGGGCAGAGGTGGGCATGGCCCTCAGGGAGCGCTAGCTACCGCAGGCTCTTGGAACACCTTCCCCCCTTTGAATCCCTGCCAGGGTTATTCTCCCCATTGTACAGATGAACAGGTTGAGGCTGGGGGGTTGCGACTGTCCCAAGGTCACACAGCAGAGGCGACTCTCATCCCAGGGGCGCCTGCCTTCTCCGCAGCCTAAATGCGGCTGGAAGCATCTCAGCACCCCCTGACTTCCTCCCCATGCTCACAGCTGCCTGGGTGATGGCACCGGGGACCAGGCTCCTGCTGGGGCCCTGGGAAGGAGATGGACCTGTTGGTGTGGACTGCAGGGTCCAGGGGGTTGGCGCGGAAACCGGCTCAGTAGGGCTGCTTGTCTTTCCACCTGGCTAGAGTGGGCGAGGGTGTGAGCAGAGCCCCCTTCTCATCGTCCACACCGTGTGGGTAGTGGGCACAGGCCCCCAGGAGCCCTGCTGGTGTCACCTGAGCTGCTCAGCCAGCTGCTGAGGGCTGCTTGCCCAGAGGCGAAGTTTAGGAATCCTAGAGCTTGTTTGTTTCCAGTTAATGAAGGTGTGCGCTGTGGCAGGAAGTTGGGAAGGTAGGGAAAATAGAAATACCCGCGCCGCCGCCAGAGCAGCCCGTTGCTCATCCCAAGGGGCCCTGTGGGTGCTCCAACGGGGAGGCCGGGCCGCCCCCGCTCACGCCCGCCCCTCTGCCCACAGCGCTCTGCTTTGCTGTGACCCGGTCGCTGCTCCTGACCTGCCTGGTGCCGGTCGGGCTGCTGGGCCTGCGCTACTACTACAGCCGCAGAGTGATCCTCGCCTACCTCGAGTGTGCGCTGCACACAGACATGGCCGACATCGAGCAGTACTACATGAAGCCGCCCGGTGAGTCGGCGCGCTGCGTGCGGGTGCTCGGCCTCCCCCTCGTCCCTCTCCTGTCCCCACCTCCTCCTCAGGCCGAGAGGTCCCCTCCTCCGAGCAGCCTCAGGGCTAGGGAGGGCATGAGGAGCTGAGCTTGCTGGGTGACTAAGGGTTTTGGCTGAGAGTTAGGATGGGGTGGGCTGGCAGGGGCTCGTGCAGGCCGCTGTGGGTTATGGTGCTGCAACACCCCTGTCCTCGGGCCTCTGCTCTCGTCTCTCTGGGGAGGCTGTCTGGCCCGGGCCAGCCCTGAGCTGGAGCCCCTTTCCCTGCCGCTTGCCAAGGGGCGGGCGGCGTCTGGGTGCTGGGCTGGGCTGGGAGTATCAGAGGTGGTGTTCCACCTGGTCTCCAGACCACCTCCTGAGCCGCCATGGTCTTCTGTAGAGAAGGGGCTGGGACCTGGGTGACCCTGAGGCAGGGAGGGTCCTGGCAGGAGGGTCCCGTGGTTCCCTCACTGCCGGAGGGCTGAAGAGATAGGCTCAGTCTGTGCCTCTGGATGGGAGGGCCTCCCAGGTGCTGGAGGGTCCCAAGCAGAGGAGGGGACAGGGCGGGTCAGAAGGACTGGGTAGGGTGCACAAGAGCCTGAAGGGAAGGGCTGTCCCGGTCCGTCAGCCCCAGGCCTGCCCTTTCTGGTATGTGTAGGGGAAGGAGGAGCAGGGGTGAGGGGCAGCGCTGGCACTGCCAGCTCCGTCCTCAGCCTTGGCCAAGCCAGCCCATCCTGTGGGGGCTGCCCCACCTCTGCTGCCACTGGCCTTGGGCGTCTCCTCTTCTCCTTCACCCTTCCCCAAACCCAAACAAAGCATCTTATGGCCTTGGTGGAACCCAGGAGGAGAGGGTGTGGGTAGGGGTGCTGGGCTGGTGTCTGGGCTATGTGGATTGCTGTCTCCCCAGATGGATGGTGGGGGTGCAGGTAAGGGGCCTTGCTGGCCCCTCCTGGAACGTCTGGTGTGTCTGCAGAAGATCCCATTGGGGGCACGGCAGGCTGAACAGCAGCTGATGGGGCTCTGCTGCATTCTTGGGGGTTGCTTGTGCACATGGGGAAACTGAGGCCTGTAGCAGGGCACCGTGTGCCCACGGCCACATAGTGCTGGGAGGCTGGGACTCCCAGTTCTATCCTGACCTCAGTCTGGCCTGGGTGGGCCTGGGTGGGCCAGGGAAGGCAGGACTCCAGGATGGGGCCGACCTGCTGGTGGTCCAAGGGTCCAGCCTCAGTGATGGAGACACCGTGTGGGTGGAGAGGTGGGCGGCAGAGAGCCCTGGGGGGCTCTGGGATGGAGGGACCCTCCTGGGGCCCTTGAGCCGTGCAGAGCTGCAGAAGGACGCACCGAGGGGGGCCCGGCGCGGGCACTGGTGGCTGGCAGCTCCAGCTCTGGCTGCTTCTCCTTCCGGCTGGTGGGGGGTGGCCGTAGGGTGCCATCCCTCTGGCCAGGGGCCAGGCCTGGGGCCCGGGGGTGAAGGAGACAGGTGATGCCACCTCCCAGAGCTGATGGGCGGGCAGGTCAGTGGGGCCCACGAAGGCGCTGTCCGGGGAGGGTGAGAGAGAGGTGGATGGGCGAGGGGTGCCCTCTGTAGAAGGCTTTTCAGGCAGGGGCAGGGGCAGAAACCTCGAGGGGAGGAGAGCTTGGTCCTTGGGCCGCGGGGGCTACAGGCTGCGTATGGGCACTGAGCCGAGTGCGGTTGGAAGGTCCCTCTGGCTGCCCTGTGGCAGGGGGATCTCCAGGTGATGGTGATCTGAGCCAAGGGGCTGCGGGTCCCCCATGTCGCCTTGACCTCCGGAGGTGACCGCTCTCCCAGTGGCCTGTGCCCTGCAGGCCTCGCCTCTCCCTGCCTCCTGGCCATCTTTGTCCCCTTTCCTGTTTCCCTCCTGGCCCTGCTGAGGCCTGCCTCCCTCACACTGCCACCCTGCAGCGGGCTATGATTGGGCCGAGCTGTGGGTAGGCGGGCAGGCCTGACCACTGGGATCACTGCCCAGGGGAGGCCAGGGGCAGGGGGCAGGGGGCAGGAGGTGAGCACTCCTCAGTGGGGCCTGTGGGAGGAGGTGGGGTCGAGGAGCTTCCTAATGGCTGCCTGTCCTGGGGTTGTCTGTCCTGAGGCTGCCTGTCCTGGGGCTGCCTGTCCTGGGGCTGTCTATCCTGGGGCTGTCTGTCCTGGGGCCGTCTGTCCTCGGGTTGTCTGTCCTGAGGCTGTCTGTCCTGGGGCTGTCGGTCCTGGGGCTGCCTGTCCTAGGGGCGTCCCTTTGGGTTTCTGAAGTCCCCTCACTTGAACCTTGCCCTGAGCCCTGCCCAGGTCCTATCGGATGCTGGTGCCAGCCCTGGGCTCTCCTCTGCCCGCAGCTGTTTCTGCTCTGACACAGGCAGGTCATGGGGGCCCCCAGCCAGGTTCCCCAACCCCAGGAGGGTGAAGGACACAGCTGACAGCCAGAGAGCCTCTCCCGCCTGGGCCCTGAGAATAGGCTGGCCTGGCCCTGCTGTTGTTGCCTGTCCTTGCAGTCCTGCTCAGCTCCCCGCTCCCGGAATCCTTCCCAGTGCTCCCTCCAGACCCCGCCTCCCCCCAGCCCCTTGTGTGGACATGAATGGGCAAGGGTGAGTGGGTCTCTGGGTGGCCATCGACAGTCACCTGTGGATGGACGTCCAGGTGTTTTGTCTGGGGCCAGCTTGGCAGGGAGAGGCACCCAGCTGGCTGAGTCCTGCCCAGCTCTTGGTCCTGGGGATGGGGCTCTGGCCTCCAGCCGCCATCCTGGCCAGGGCAGCCTGGCTTTGGGGGCTGAGTGGGTCCTGGCTGTGGTATTATGCCAGGTCTTGGCAGAGCCTGGGCCCCAGGGGAGGAGGATCCCAGAGCGTGAGCTTACTTTTGCACTGTGGTCTTGCCTGGCTTCACCAATGAAGAGACCGAGGTCCAGAGTGGCTCAGGCACATCTAGTGCCAGAGTCAAGGGAAGCTCCTGGCACCTGATATTTCTTGGCACAGTTGCAGCAGGAAGGCCTGAACGGGGCCATTCCCAGGAGGGCAGGGCCCGAGGCCCAGAGTTGGGCAGCACTGGGGTGTGGGGAAGGTTTGGGAGCTGAGCTGCCTTTGGTTGGCCTCTGCCCCATGCCTGTCCCCACTGCTGGGCCCAGCCACCAGTCCAGGGTCCCCTCCTGGGCTGCAGGGGGCAGCAGGCAGGCCTGGCCGGGGGTCAGTCGGGGCTGTCTGCTCACAGGGCCCTGGGGAGACAGCTATGCCTGCTCACCCTCATTGGGGCCCCCCATCTAGCAGAGCCAGGGTGGGCCATGGGGCAGGCAGTGAGGGGGCCAGCTGGAGTGGGCACTGGGGGTTGGAGGAGGAGGTTGTCATGCAGAGAGGAGGGGTGTCTGACTGCCCTGTCCCTTGCAGGCTCCTGCTTCTGGGTGGCTGTGCTGGACGGCAACGTGGTGGGCATCGTGGCAGCGCGGGGCCACGAGGAGGACAACACCGTGGAGCTGCTTCGTATGTCCGTGGACTCGCGCTTCCGTGGCAAGGGCATCGCCAAGGCACTGGGCCGCAAGGTGCTGGAGTTCGCCCTGGTACACAACTACTCGGCGGTGGTGCTGGGCACGACGGCCGTCAAGGTGGCTGCCCACAAGCTCTACGAGTCACTGGGCTTCAGACATATGGGCGCGAGTGACCACTATGTGCTGCCCGGCATGACCCACTCGCTGGCCGAGCGCCTCTTCTTCCAGGTTCGCTACCACCGCTACCGCCTGCAGCTTCGCGAGGAGTGACTGCCTGCTGCCCGCCCGCCGTTCCCGGCCGCCCGCCCACCTGCCCTCCCCACATCTGCCTGTCGCCTGCCTGCCGCCCGCCCACCCGCCGTCGGCGTGGCCTCGCTTCCAGACACTCACCTTGGCGTTTTATGTTGGGTTTTTCCTTTCTCGACATCACACGGTTCTCTGGCCAGTTCTTGAGGTGTAGGGCTATTGCTCGTTCGCGACATTTTGGAGGGGTGAGTTTGTCTGCAGCCACAGCTCCCACCTTTCCCAGCCTGTTGGGCTGTTTCCCCACGCCCTGAAGAGGGACAGTGTGGACCACCATGGCTGCAACACAATCTGCCCGGCCCGGGGACCTCTCCGGCCGAGCTTGGGGGCTGCTCCTCTGGCCACCAGCGTCCAGGGCAGGCCCAGCTGCCCAGGCATTGTCCACTAAGCACAGAACCTCCGCCACCACGTCTCCAGCTGAGCAGGCCCCTCGCCACCAGCCCAGGCAGCTGGGCTCGGCTGCCGTCCTGGAGGCTGGCTGGGCCGTGGGGCCGAGCTGGCTGCGGCCTGCTTTGCTCTGTGCATGCCGACGTTGGGGCCTGGCCGCAGCACGCCTGCATGCCTGCAGCCCCTGCCCGCTGCCCTGCCCATACTGGACCCTGAGACCTAGCTGGGGCGCCCCTCCCGGCCCCTGGCTTCACCCTTTTGCTTTGACATCACATCATCCTTTCCTTTGGTCCCGCCCCGTCCCCTGCCAGGGCCTTGGCTGATTGGCGTCACCATCGAGGTATGGTTCCCATAGCAACCGTGCACAGCCTGGCCAGCCCCTGAGGAGAGCCGGCCTGGGGCGGAGGGCCGGGGACCCCTCCTCCTCCCAGTGCTCTCTAGCTCTCGTGCGGCCCCCAGCCCTCCCCAGGAGCCCCTCTGCTTCCTGGCTAATGGGCCAGTCTGGGAATCTTACTAACCCAGGCCGCCGCCAACACCCGCCAAGCCCACAGCTTCTCCCAGCCTGAACCCGACCCCGTTTTTTAATAAGTTATTTAGACAGAATAGCAACTCTGCATGACTTTACTTCTTGGGACAAAACGGTAGCTTGCACCTTAAGTCACACACACACCTCTGTGTGGTGGCGGGAATATGCACTATTTCCGGCCCAGTTCTGGTGTGGGGGGGGGGTGGCCGGAGGGTTTCAAGAGTTCAGCATTGAGAGGGAGACCCTGATGTAGCATCATTTTCCCCAAAAGAGCATCTGGTTTATGAGGAGTTGAGGGCATCTCTCTCCAGCCCGGGCGGAGGGGTTGGGGATGGCATGGAATCAGCTACCTTTGGGAGACGGGGGATGAGTGGGTCTCTCGCCTCTCCGGGCTGCGGGGCCTGGCTGTGTCCCGAGGTCTGAGGCAGGCCTGGCCTGGCCTAGGGGTGGGGTGGGAGGGGAGAGGAAGACAGCAGTGGCGCTGCCGGCGTGCTCAGCTGTGTGCCTGGGCCGGCCACCCTGTGGCAAAGGGACACGCGTGCTGTCGGGACCCCCTTTAGGTGGGCGCTCGAGAAGGGGGTGGCGGGGACAGCAGGCCACGGAGCTGAGTCCCAGCCCCCAAAGCCCTCGTGCAGGCCCACGGAGGGGCCGTTCTTAGAGGCGCTTCAGAAGTGAATGAATTAGCTGAGCAAGCCCGCCTTTCCGAAGGGCCTTTGTTCTCGCGGTGATTGAGACGTTGCAGAATCCTGTACAGACCCTGCTCCCCTGTACATTTCTCCCTGGTGGCGCCCGGTCCCTGCATGGGGATGGGGGTTTTGTAGACTGTACAGAAATTGGCACCCTATTTTCTTGCAGCTCTCAGATTTTGTTAATCTGGATTATACAGACAGACGTAAAGTGTTTTAGCAAAATGGAAAACAGTTTGTGCCTTTTTTCCTTTTTCTCTTTGGTTTGGTTTTGGCTTGGGGCTGGTCTTAGTTGGCATTGGTGTGTTGGGGGGCTGGCTGGTTGGAAGGCATGGCTGGGGTGGGGACGACAGGCAGGGGCTAAGGGGGGTTGACGTTGTGGGGGACATGTTCTGTTAAGTGGGTAGCTTGGGCTGCCCCCGCCTTTCTTTGATCCTGTGCCTTTGGAGCCTCTGGGATCTGGGACGAGGCACGTGGGTGGGGTCCCAAGAGTCCACTGAGGCCAGGGCCAGAACCTGGGGGCCCCGGCACTGACAGCACTATGCTGGTGTTGCTGTCGGGCCCTCCTGAGATCCTTCCCACTGGGAGCTCAGAGGGCCTGGGGCAGAGTATGGCCCTGCTGTCCTGCGGCGTCTGTCTGTTCATCTGCCCACCAGCCATGGGTTGTGCGGGTAGGGTGGGCTTGCCGTGCCTTCCCCCAGCTGCGTGGTCAGTGGGTGGTGGGGCGCTTGCTGGGATTCTCGGCCTTTCTTTGCTGTCCTCTTTTTGCTGTCCAGGACGGCGCTCGGAGCCCTGGGCTGGCAATGGTTTTGCTCTGAGCTGCGGCTCCCTGCGACCCAGCTACTGAGGGGTCCAGCAGGCTGGGTTCCCACTGTGCCCCAGACTGGAGCCCTCGCCAAGCCCTCGTGTGGCTCCGTGGCCCCCAGAACCACCGAGAGCTGACCTCCCCATCCTCCGCCTGTCCCCCAGCCTGATAGTAGATGGCTCTGCAAACCTGCACTGAGCTAGGACCTTTAAACCATTTGTAGAAATTCCGACGTTACCTGTACTACCTCTGTGATGTGTCCTCCCGGGCGCCTGGGCAGCGAGGCGTCTGTTGGACCTTCTTTCTCCCTGGGCGTACTGGCCCTGGGCCTGTTCCTCCCACCCTGCTGCCTCCTGGATGCTCTCTGGGTGGCTGGTACCCAGACTCAGCACTTGGCGAGGCCCCTGTACTCGGGTCTGGGCCCCCTAGTTTCCGGGTCTGCTCTGGAAGTGGCTGTTTAGGGTGGGGAGGAGGGAGGGGGGAGTTGTTAGATGAACCTGGCAAACAGACCCAACCTGCAGCTCTGGGCAGTGGGATTGTGGTGTCCTCGGCTCCTGTGGCCCAGGAAGGAGGCCGGGGTGGCTGTGGGGCCCCAGTGCCTGTGGATGGCTGACTGACACCCAGTGCCGCCAGGTCCTGGTCGTGCGTCTGGAGACCATTCTGCCACCCGTGTGGTGCTATGTGGATGGCTGACTCCTGTGGGGGGTCGGGATGTGTGTCTGCATGTGGCTGACGGCACAGCATGGGGATTGGTTCTCAAATGTGGAGGCGTCCGTCCGTCGCTGTGGCCGCCATGGTGGCATCTCCCACTGTCCTTCCATCCCCAGGCCCAGCCTTGCTCCCCACTGGCATCTGCCCTGGGGCAGGGAGCTGCGGAGATGCTGCCCATCCTGGGTGGAGGGGCAGAGATGGAGCCAGCCTGGCCTGGGTGCCCAGGATCCCCTTCTCCCATGTGGTGGGGGCCCGGGCTGGGGGTGGGCAGCCCTGTGGGACAGCTCCAGCTGGAGGCCCTGTGGACAGCTGGCCTGGGCCCATGAGGCCTTGGGGGCCTCTCCTGGGTGCAGATTTGAGCAGGCCCATTCCCTCTCTTGGAGGAGGTGACAGGCTACTCCAGGTCTTTGGAGGAGGTGAGGTGGGGACAGCCCCAGCTCAGCAGGGTGTGGGATGCCCCTGAAGTGAGCTTTCTCGGGCACCTCGCAAGTGCTTGGGAAGCTCTCTGGGCCTTACGGGCCCTGGTGTTGGGAGCCATGGTTCCCCTGCTGCCCTGTCCTCACCAGGTGGCCCCCGAGGCCCCTGCCGACCCCAGGTGGCCCCCGTGACCTTGGCCTGCCCCAGGGTGGCCTCCAAGGCCCCTGCCCACCTCAGGTGACCCTGTGACCTTGGCCTGCCCCCACGTGGCCCCTGAGGCCCCTGCCTGCCCCGGGGTGGCCCCTAAGGCTTCTGTCCGCTCCAGGGTGGCCCCTGCCTGCCCTGGCTGCCTCTGTCTGCCCTGGGGTGGCCCCTGAGGCCTTTGCCTGCCCTGGGTGGCCCCTGTGACCCTTGTCCACCCTGGATGGCCTCTGAGGCCCCTGCCTGCCCTGGGTGGCCCCTGAGGCCCCTGTCCAACCTGGGTAGCCCGTCTACCCCAGGTGGCCCCTGACTGCCTTGGATGGCCCCTGTCCACCCTGGGTGGCCCCGTGACCCCGTCTACCCTGGGTGGCCCCTGCCCGCCCCAGGTGTCCCGGGCTCGCCAGAACTGGCTTTCAGGGTGGGGAAGTCCACGGGACAGAGGGTGCCACGGCCTCCTGGAGCCTGGGTCCAGGAGCATGAGCCCTCACAGGGACCACTGTCGGATGTAAATTTTTTTTAACAGCAATAATTAGCCATTTTACAGGTGAGCATGTGCGAGTGTGTATGTGTGTCGTGTGTGTGGGATGTGCGTATGTGTGTGCATGTGTGCGTGCGCACGCGTGGTGACAGGGAGGGACCCTGGTGGTGAGTCCTCTTGGTCTAGCTGAGAAGGGGCAGCCGGGGGCACTTGGCGGAGAAGGCCGGCCGGCTCTGTGGCCTGCACCCCGCCATCCCCACCCACGCCGCCCCTGGGCCTGCCTGGGGTCCCCCTCTGTATCCCCTCCTGTTTCTTCCAGACCTGCTGGGCGCCAGCCTGGGGCCGTGAACGTAGTGTCCCCTCGCTCCTTGGTGGGAGGGTCCTAGCCACACACAGCTGACAGCCCCGCGCCACCAGGCTTCAGTGAAGAGGGGCAGGTCATGCTCTGGGGAGGGGATGCGTGGCTGGGGCCTGGGGATGTGGGCCCCTGAAGCCCTCTTGGCTGGGAGGGGCCGCGGGGTTTTTGGGATCGTGGGGAGGGAGGGGCTGGCAGGGACTCCTTGGAGATGTGGAGACTGCCGGGGCCACTTGTTTGTGACAGGTCGCCAGAGCAGCTGCGGTCAGTTCTGGCAATCTGACGAGGTGGAGGCGGCAGAGGCCGTGGCTGTGGTCTGCAGGGCCGCTGTGCCGGTGACAGCGGAGCAGAGCCAGAGCTCAGGGTGGGTGGTGGGCTCCACGTGTTTCAGTTTGCTCCTAAAAGTGTACTGTAAGACCATAACTGTAATGATTGTCCTGAGACCCCAGGATGTGCCAAAAAGCCCCCGGGGGCCCAATGGGGGCAAAGGAGCTGGGTTCCGGTGGGGCGGCTGCCTGCTGGCTCCAGGGCTGGGGTGGCCAGGTCCCGGGCCCTGGCCCCGACACGGTGTGTGACCCCTCTGCCTGCATGGCCCCCATGCTGCTGTTTTTCAATAAAACCAGAGTTGAAGGATCTGGGTCCAAGTGCTTCTTGCGGGTTCCCTCTTCCCTCGGGGCTCCATGAGCCAGGCCAGGCTTCTCTGTGGTGCTGAGACAGAGTGGGTCCACCTGGGGTGCGGGGTGCCTGGGCAATGGGTCTTGGAGAGGCAGAGGGGAGCCATCCTTGGAGGGGGCTGAGCGTGAGGATGGGTGGTGGTGGAGGGCTCTGCCTGGCGCCCTCTGTCCCTGTTTGGTTTTGCCTCCGACACTCTCCGAACCCAGGGGTAACGCCTCTGCCCACACCCCCACCCTGGCTCTGTGCTGGGGCCCTGTACCCCGAACTCCTGGCATAGCTGTGATAGCTTGGCCTGGCAGAGCTCCTGCCTGGCTCACCAGGTCCTGCTGCTCTGTCCTCCTGGCTTGGGGGTCCTGGGGGTGCCACCAGTGTCAGCCCCTGTCCTGGTCCCCCAGCTCTCCCTGTCCTATGGTTCATGCCTGGCCTGTACACCGGTGCCCTGCTGGGGGCCTGGATGTCAGCTGCCCCCCACCCCCATTGGATGACATGGCACCCAGCCCAGTGTCTGGTGGTCCTCGTCCTTGCCCTCCCTGCAGCCCTGTGGAGCCCCTGGCCCCTGGCGAGTGCCCAAGGGTGTCCTCTGTGTTGCAGGAGGGGGCAGGAACAGGTGGGTGTCTGAGGCTGGGGTCTGCGGGCTCCACTTCCTCATGGCTGGGTGGGGTAGCCCCAGCTAGGGCTCGGGGGAGGGAGGAGAGGGCTGAGGGGGCAGAGAAGAGCTAGAACTGCTGTGATGTTTCTTTGTGTTCTATCAGCCGGAGGCGCCGGATGCCTCAGAAGCATGATTACGCCTGGGCTTTAGACAGAACATCTCACTTCGGACACCCATCAGCCTTGGAAACTGATGTCCACACAACCCTGGTTTCTGCCCTGCGGCAGACGCACGCTGGTGCCCCCCAGCCCCCAGCAAGGCAGCCGACACCCTGTGTGGTGGGAGGAATGGGCCCCGGGGCCAGCAGCCTTCAGACTTTAAAACAAGTCAGGACTCCTCGTCAGGCTTCTGCCTCATAAACACTGGTTTCCAGACCTTTCACCAGCTGGCAACTGTTTGTTACCTGAGCCCAGTGAAGAGGTGCGGCTCCCTCTGGCTGCTCCCACGGGCAGACTGCATCCCAGGGAGGGACAGCACAGAGGAATGTGACGGGTCAGATTCCCCCAGCTCCTGCCCTGGGTTAGCGGGGAGCCAGGCACAGGGCACGGGCACAGGAGGACGAGAGCAGGCCCCGGGGATGCTAGCTGCGGAAGGCTGCCAGGGTGCCCAGCTGCTGGGGGCTGCGTTCCAGGGGACCCTGTGGTCCCCACAGGTTCCTGTCAGCAAGGCTGGCATGGAGGCTCCTTCCTGTGATGGGTCTGAGGGGCAGGAATCTGTCCACACTGATCCTGACTGTCCCTGAGAGCTCGGGTCAGCCCCCCATCCTACCTGCACTCTGTCCCCACATCATCGTCCCTCCCTTACAGACCCCAGATTCCCTGCCCCCTGCCTCTCCAGTGAGCTGGACAACTGCCCGCAGCCACCTGCTTCTGCTGCCTGCCCCGGGACGCCTCAGCTCCTGGGTCCCAACGCCTGCCCTCGGGGCTGCTCAGTGAGCGCCTGTGCTTCACGTCCCTGGGTGCCCACTCAGGTGCACACACACTCTCCCACACTCTCATACATGTACACAATGCACATGTGCAGATGTGTACACACGTGCATGAACAGACATGCATACACCCACACATGCATACACATGCACACATGCACACCCACACATGCATACACAAGCACACCCACCCACACATGCATACACACACATGCATACACGTGCACATATGCACACCCACCCACATGCATAAACACATACACATGAACACACCCATACACATGCACACATGCACACCCACATGCATGCATGAACATGCAACACACCCATAATGTACACATGTGCACACACACACGTCCACCCTCCACACATGCATACCCACACAGTACACACAAGGCAATACACCCACACACCTATGCACACATGCGCACAACCTGTGCACGCACATGCACCCACATGAACACGTGCACACACACACACGGGCAGGCTGACCTGCACTACAGTGGCACGGAATGGCCCAGCAGCAGTTCCTGGCCAGTTTCCAATTCTTGGAAGGTGCTGTCATACAGCAGCCAGGCCTCTACACACATCACGAAGCCCACGTGAGCACCAGCCTTCTGGGAGAAGCTGGGTCTGCATGCTTTCTGCATGCTTCCCTCAGCTCCCAGGAACAGGTGGCCCCCAGTGAGACACATGCCCAGGGCTGTTCCTGCTCCCAGGTCCAGCGGGAGGCAAAGGTGCTTCCAAAGCTGAACAGCCAGCAGAGAGGCCAGGCTCTCGGCTCGACTGACCCCCAACCCCGCGCCAGTGCTGGGCACACAGCAGCTGTCCACGGAGTTTGCTAAATAAAGAAGGGATGAGGGATGGACTCTCTGAGAGCCCCAAGAACACGACAGTGAGGTCCCCAGCAGGGTCAGTGGGATAACCCCAAGTCACCCAGAAAAGACGCTGCTATGCCCACTGCACTCTGTAAAGAAAGTGGTGCATGAAACGGCATTTTTCATTTAAAAAAAAAAAAAGTGTTGGTATGCCCATGTGCCCAGGCGTGGTGTGGGCCATCACCCAGACCTGGGAGTGCTGCGTCTGGGTGCAGCTGACATGCCCACCCAGTGTGGATGGGCCTCAGACCTGGTGATGCTTGGCCGGCCCCAGGATTCCCAGAGAGAAACAGCGCATGGAGCCCAGACCTAGATAAGGAGGCGCACAGGCCAGCCCAGCTCCTGGGGGACCGGGACCCCTGGACGCAGGGCTTGGCAGGACACGGGTCTGGGCGCATGGGGTGGGGCAAGAGCCTGGATCCCAGCAGGTCTGCAAGTTGATGTGGTTCTGAACCAGCCACCAACGAGGGGGTGGGGCCGTGGGCTTGGCAGAAGTTGTCCCTGCGTCAGACTCACTAGTCATGTGCGCCGGTAACAGTGGCTTGGCCTTCCTGTGCCTCAGTTTCCCAACCACATAAAGCTTCCTTGGCTGCTGCCAGGCATGAAGGAGGTATGCCGTGGGGTTCCGTGGGGCTGGTGGCGAGGCTGTCATGTTGTAAGGATGGTCTCGGCATGCAGGGAGGTGGGGGCATAGGGCAGCGCGGGCCTCCGATGGCACTGGGGGAAATGGAAGAACCGCTCTGGGGGCACACTCTCGGGGAGAGCCCGGCGGGGGTGGTGCTAGCCCTCGCACGCCTGTGGACAAGGCCCTCGGTTCCTCCGGGGCCTGGTGATGAGCCGAGCTGCAGCTCCTGCCTGCGGGAGGCTCAGCGCAGGGCCTGCCTGTGGGGCCGCGCTGCCGGAGCGATGGGGCCGTGGATACGGGAGGCTGAGGCGGTGTGCAGGGAGGACACTGCTGGACCAACCAGGTGGCTGGCAACTCCTGGGGCCACCCACAGGGTGGGGAGCTGTTGCTGAGCAAGAGTGAGCCCTCCCTACAGGGCCACCCCAGATTTGGGGCGCTGGGCCCTGGCGCTGGTCAGGCGGCCAAACCTTATAAAGAATCCACTCGGCCAAGGGCAGGTCAGCCTTGTGTAAGAGCTTTACTGGGGTGACCCAGGCGTCCTGCCTGGGGGGTTAATGTGGTAGTGCCATGGGCTCCAGTTGGGGAGCCGCAGGAAGCAGTTCACCGTGACCTTGGGAAAGGCCGCTCAGTGGGCTGGTGGAAACCAGTTCAAGCCTCCCTCCGTTGCCTGGGGCGACGGGCGAAATGAAGGTGAACAATGCGCATTACGGTGGAAGGTGCTGCCCGGGCATCTGGCAGAGGTGGCCGGGCTGTTGCTTGGAGACTCGGTGTGGGGCGGGGGGAGCCGTGGGGCTGGGCCCAGGGTCTCCTGCAGCGGGGCCAGGCAGCCCCACTTGCGGCCGGCACTCAAGCTCACCCGCAGGGGCACCTGCAGGCACGGCCAGAGGTGAGCCTCGGCCCAGGCCAGCCCTGCCTGTAGGGCGCAGGACCCAGGCTGGTGGATGAGGCCTGCAGGGCCCGAGGCACAGCGAGCTGGGACCACAGAGAGACCCACATCCAGTGTCGACACGGTTAGAGACAGCCACAGCCGAGACACACAGGGGCAGGTGCACACGTATGCACACACAGGTGCATGCATGCACACATGTGTATCAGCGCACACACGTGTGCACATAAACACATGCCCAATGCACACAACCCATGCAAGCAACATGTGCACATGCATGTGTGCACGTGCACACACGTGGACACACATGTACACGCACATGCACAGATTTGCCCAGTAATGGGCAGACATACACCCACATCTATCCCTCAGTCATGAGCCTCCACCTTGGCTGAAGGCCCCCCACCTGCCAGGGATCTGTGCTGGCAAGCAGGCCTGCAGGGCCGTGCCAGGCAAGCTGCCCTTGGTGGGAGAAACGTGTGCATGGTGACCTGTGCTCATCACCTGGGGCCCTTCTCCCCCACCCCCCCAAGGGGAGCCAGAGAAGTGTGGGTGGCGATGCTCGCCTGGGAGGACCCTGGGGCTCTGAGAAGTGGTGACCAGCAGGCATGGTCGGGCACACCCTGGGGTGTGCTGGGAGGGCAGGTGTCGGTGGCACCACGAGGAGGTGTGACAGCATTCTGCCAGGCCTCGAGGGGATGTATGCCTACAGCCCCACGAAGGGGTGAGCCTCAGAGAAGGCGGTGTCGGCCAGAGGCCAGGTGGCCAAGGGTGGAGGGTCCTGGGTGGTGGGAGAAGGCAAGGCTACCCACTGTGGTTTCTTGCTAGGCCAGTGGCCAAGGCTTCCTCCCAGGGGGCCCACTTGGCTCCTCAGTAGGGAGAGTGGGGTGGAGGAGGGGTCTGGAGGGGCGGGACAGGGCAGCAGTCTCCAGGCTCACAGGGCCGGGGCCACACCCTCCTTCCATACCCCCCTCCTCCGCTGGTAGCTGCCTCTCCCCTCACCCCCACCCAGGGTGCTCTGGTTGTGCCAGCTGAGGTGGGCGGCTCACCTGCAGCTGCAGCCCCAGGGCCCGGATGTGCTGCAAGGACTCCATGGTGGCCCTGACGAGAGCTGGAGTGAAGGGAAAGCAGAGAGGCTGCTTCAGAGCACAGTGGGCTCCGGGCGCTGAGGGGGCCGGCGCTCCGCCCGAGACCCCCCGGCTGCAAAGAACTTCCAGCCCATCATGCCCAAGACTCCCTAGTTATTTCCCGCTGTCCTGGGGCCACACCAGCCAGGTGGTCTGGTGGCTGCAGCCCCACATGGAGCCCCTGGACCGTCCTGCAGCTGACTCCAGCTCCCACTGGCCATGTGCACCGCTTAGGGCACCTTGGGCGGTGCTCCCACCTGCCGCCATCTGTGGCTCGGCTCCGGGGCCAGGACCGGGGCTGTGCTGGGAGTCCTCAGCCCCGCTCGGCCCATTCTCTCCAGCCGCCACATGTCTTTCCGGCTGCCTCGCCCTTTGCCCCCTGGGGCTCGCCCAGCCAGGGGCCCATGCCATCCCTCCATGCCTCCAGCTCTCTAGTTTGGAAGGCTCTGCACCCACACTGCCCACCGGCCTGGCCACAGCGTTGGGGTTGGGAGAGGGCAGGGTCGAGGGTGCATGGGGGCTGTCAGCCACCTGCTGTGGAGTCTGACGAAAAGGTCAGCCCTGTGAGGGCAGCTTCGAGGCGCTGGTGTTTGGCCCCGCATCGGGGCCTCATTTACCTCTGGGCAGCTGAGCTCAGGGCCCTCGGAAGGGGAGCCGCCGGGGCGGGGGTAGGACTGGGAGTTTGCTCTGAACTCCTGCGCCCCTTTGATAACAATACCTCATTCCACCCTTTTCGTTATTTGATGCTTCAGTACAGACTGTGACAGAAATGCCCGGGCACCGGCCTGGGCTGCCTTGTTCGCATCCCCACCCCTGCCTGCCTGTGGCAGGGGGCCCCCGCTGGGCAGGGCCTGGGAAGCTGCAGGGTGTGAGAGGTTCTTCTGCAGAAGGAGTGAGGAGGTGGGGGTGGAGGGGACGGCCCAAGAGAAGCCAGCCCCTCCTGCCCGCTGGGTGTGCTGTAAAGCCAGGTCCTTCTGTCCCTCCCTGTGCTCATTGCATGAGTGACTCCACGTGACCACAGCTGAGGGGCAGTGGGGGGCCTGAGCGACAGCCCTGTGCTCTCCCTGTGGTCACCCACGCTGCCTTCACCCACACGGCCGGGGGGTCCCTGGTCCTGGCAGCTGCCTGCCCCGGCAGGGTGTGTCCTAGCCCCAGCCCTGCCTGTTTCCCCGTCCCTAGTTCTCCTGGTCCGCAGTCCCCAGCAGTGTCGGGCTGGCCCGGACTGCTCCCGGAGGGCAGTGCCAGGCGGTGCCCCTGCCTCGGGAAGCCGCCAGGCTGGTGGGGAAGAACCTGGAGGGACAGGCACTGCTCCTTGCTGCCCGGTGGGTGTCGAGGTTGCTCGGGGAACCAAGGGGAGCTTAACTGTTGTTAAGAGGCCTTGCTAGGGATTGGGGAAGCAACGAGCACATGTCCTGCCGCCAAATGGTCCCCAGGATGGATTCATTTCCAGTTCATTGTCTCCAAATGTCCTGTTGTGAGCACTTACCGGGCGCCCAGGCTACCTGGGCCTCACAGGGGTGGCCGGGCCCGGGGAGGGCAGCCGTGACTTGTCTGTGCCTGGCGTGACACCCCAGTGCCCACCAGGCACTCTCCTCCCAGCCCTGTGCTCAGTCAGCCAGCCCTGCCCTCCGTGGCCCTGCCCCAACCTCCTGGCCCTTGCTGCCCCGAACACCCTGCTGGACACAGCCCTGCTCACACCACCCTCAGTCAGCGCGGGGAGGATGCACGCAGGATGGCATTGTGTCACACATGGATGGACAGACGGACAGCGCTCCCTGTCACTAGTCATGCTACATCACTCTGGGCTCACCTGCAAACTCGGGAACCTGTGGGTCTTCCACCTCAAACAGCAGCTCGTCGTGAATTTGGGCAACCAACCTGAAAGACACGCAGGAGGGGAGGTGACCACGGGGTCCCGGAACGGATGGCAGCTGTGGGCCATGTTGGAGGCACGTGTGGATGTGGCGGATCCTGGCCCAGGGGGCCCAGAGGTCTTCACTCAGCAGGTGGGTGCGGATTTCTGAGCCTGGTGGGCGCAGCTGCCTGGGCCACCCCACAGTCATCTGGGGTAGGGGCTGGGAGGGCAGGCCAGAGGAGAGAAGAGAGCGCAGAGTTCAGGGGCAAAGGAAGAGGTCCAGAGAGGAACAGGATGGCGAGAAAAGTGGCAAGGACACTGTGGGGCCGAGCTGCTCTGCAGGCTGCGGGGTACTGTGTCCAGGGAGGCCTGAACGGGGTGGAGGCTCCCCTTGAACTGTTGGGGGGTGTGGCTGGTGGAGGGAAGAGGGAGGGAGGGGGGTCTCTGCTGAGCACTAGGAAAGGGTCTGCCATCAGGGAAGGAGGAGACAGAGGGCCCTGGGGAAGCTGGGGCACCCACACTTTGAATACTAGCTTAGGGAGGCTGATGGGAGGGACAGACTTGTAAGTCACAGAAATAAATAACTCATTTAATATATCTGAAAAGTACACAGACATTCTAAAGTGAAAAAAAAAAAAAGCCCCTAACTCCCCATGCCCTCGCCCTCCCCGCCAAGGGGACATTTGGGACGGCCCTGGCCAGGCCCTGTGCTTGGTGCTTCTCCGCGTGTGTATACCCCACCTGTTCCCCCACTTCCACATGCTTCCCCCACTGACAGCCACAGGTTGAGGCTGTAGTCTATGCCTGGTCTCGCGTAGTTTCAGTCCCTTAGATGTCTGGGCAGATGTTCCCCACTTGCCCCACAGAGTAACCCTCTGCCCTCCTCTGCCAGGTCTGTGCCTGGGAATGAGCTCTGTGGGAAACGGCCGCCTGCTTCCTGTCCTCTGGGTCTGGCCCACTGAGGCGGCAGGAGAGAGGCTAGGTGTGGGCTCCCTGCTCCCTGGGGCTGGGCTTTGGTGTGGCCGAGTTCCTGTCCTTGCGGCCACCACTCCAGGGCTGCTGTGTCCTGGTTCCTGCTCCCTGGGCACCCTGGGCGGGCCTTGTCCCTTCACTGAACCCCCTCAGCCGCCCCTTCCTGCCGACCTTGACCCTGATGCTCTGGCTTCCAGGATGGGGAGGTGGGGGAGTACGCACTGTGTGGACACTGGTGAGGAGATGTGGGTGAAGACGCCCTGCCCACGTGGTGAGGGGTCTCCCAGCTGGTGGCCAGTGGGTGCACTGGACAGGGATGGAGCAATGGGACATTCAAATGACCAGCTCTTAAAGCTTCACGTTGGCTAACAAGCCATCTGCAGGCCGAGCTCAGCGGCATGCCCCCGCGTGCACGTGCTCTTTGGGAGGTGGGGTCCTAGTCGGTTTCTGAGCCAGGGTGGTGATGCCACAGCGTGCTCCTTGGTGGCGACGCCTGCCGTGGGGTGCGTGTAGGGCCTGGAGCCCAGCAGAGGATGGTGGGCGTCAGAGGTGGGTCCTGTGTGCACTGCTGTTTGTGTGACCCTGTCTGTCTCCTGGACACGTCCTGTACTCTGGTCACCCCTGCTGCCTGTCCTACAGGTGGGCGTGCAGGAAGAAGGCAGCACTCATTCTACCGCTCTAGGCCCTGGGCGCTGCATGGTGGGCTGTGGCCCAGAGGCCACCATGAAGGGGTGCATGAGGGTGTGCCAAGGTCCGTGAGGACGACGGTGGCAGGTGGGCGGGCCAGCTCTTCCAACCATACCATGGAGATGAGTTGTGTCAGTGCTTTCAGAAGACGTGGATTCCAGAATCCATGCACTGTGCTTGCTGGCAGAGACTTACAGTAGCTGTTCTTCCTCTCTCTCCTCATGTCAGGCCCTTTGTTGTTGGAGGGGGGTGGAGATGGGGCAGCGCCCGAGCCACAAACGACACTTCCCAGGCCCCCTTGCAGGTGGGGTGGCCCATGAGGTTGTCCCCTCACCTTCCAGGAAGGCTCTTTGCAGGGCTGACCAGGCTGGGAACCAGGCACCCCATTGACCGTCAACTGCTTTTTCCTTCTTTTGCCTGAGAGGCATTGTGATGGCTGGAGCAAACGGCACAAAGAGGGGAAGGGCCAGGGAGCCGGGGGACCTCACTCCTGTTGCCCTGAATCTCTGAATCAAGTCAGCAACTGCTTGGCTCTGGACTTCTTCTCGTGGGATGGTGAAATGTGAGCCCCTGCAGGGCACTGCCCTGCCCATCTGACCCTGGTGGGCGACGGCAGAGGCCAGGCTGGCAGTGAAGGCCTTTTACTTTCTTAAACTTCCAACTTCTGGAGGAATATTTGCCTCCCAAGGTGATGAATTTTCAAATGGACAGAAATCTCAGACTAGGCACTTGTAACTTCTTCCAGATTTAGAAGAAACAGTTTTCACACTTCTTGAAATTACATTGTGAAATTCTGAGCTGCTGCTGTGGCAGGGATCTAACAATAGTTTAAAATCGTTAGTCACTTACACATCACACTCACAGCGGGGGAAACACAGCCCACCTGATTGAAAAGTGGGCCACAGTAACCCAGGAGAAACGGAGGACGCCCCTGTTTGGAGCCCATGAGTCCGGGGGTCTTGGAACACCTCCTTTTTCTGGGAAGGAGCTGATGATGAGGTCACTTCTTGCCCCTGCTCCAGAAAGGGGCCTAGAGACAAGGCTGCTGTGTCCTCAGGATGGCCTGGCTGAGGCAGCACAGGACCTTGCTCCCGTGGGGGAACATGCCAGAAGCACCTCGCCTCATCCCTGTCTGTGACCTGCCCGGTGCCCCCAGCCCAATTCCAGCTGATCCCCAGGAGGCGTCACGTCCAGTGCTGAGGGCGGATGTGGCACGCAGATCCACTCAGCCTGGCATCCTGCCCCCGTCTCTGCTCAAGGGAGCCGTGGCGCGGTCGGACGCTGTGCGGTGCTGGCCAGGGGCCTGCATGGGGTCAGAGTTCTTCCCCTGGCCTTTGCGTGAAGGGCCTGCCTGATGATGAGGGAGTCATCGTCCTCCACTGGCCGCACCGCCTGGGCACTCTGCCCATAGCCCCTCCTGCAGCCTGTCCAGGTCCCTTGTGTCTGTGGGTCATACTGACACTTCACCCCCTGCCTTGTGTCTCTCTCCCTGGATGGTCCAGGTGTCCTGCTGGCCCAGCTCCACGCTTGTGCGTGTGCACAATTCGATGCCATGGGACACTGTGCCTGTTCCCACCTGAGTGGTGCTGAGTCCAACCCGCTGAGCTGGCCAGTGTGGGGGCCCTGACGGCCGTTGAAGTGCCTTCGACTGGCCCCGAGCCCAGCAGGGCTCCGCCTAAAGCTGCTGTCTCCTAGGCAGCCACCTTAGCTGTCCTTCCTTCAGGGCACGCTTCTTAGCACAGTCCCCTCTATGCACCCTGTCCATGCCCTCACCACGGCCACAAAGTGGACTGGGCATGAGGTGGTGGCCACGTGCCAAAGACAGGTGCAGCGCCAGCCCTGCCCCTGGGGGATTTCACCAACACCTGCTGCCTTGGCGGTGGGCTCCAGACTTCTGTCCTGGAGGTGCCTCTCCTCGTCCTGCTCTTGCCTCTCCCAAGTCCCCCGCCTGGCCCGTTGGCCCCCGCAGCCCCTGTGCCCACCCTTGTCAGGCCTGTCACCTGCCCCTGGCTCCCCCCCAGGTCCTCCTGCCTGGTCTAGCACAGCAGTGTGCCCCTCCCCGGTGTCACCCACCCCCTGCCAATCCATATGAAGGCGGGGTGCGGTTGTGGGCATGTCGGCCCCTGACTCAGTCTCTGGTGGACCTGCCGCAGCACCCGTGGACAGCCCTCCACGTGGGCGCAGCTGGCCTTTCCAGCCTCGTGTCTCCCCACCCTCAGGAGCAGGGCGCCTGCTCACCCTCCCCAGCATGGCCTTGCCTTCGTCTTGGAAGGTCCAAGTCCTGCCCATCTCAAAGGTCACCAAGGCAGTGAGAAAGGTGTCCTCACGGTGCCCGGTCTTGGCCTGGCACATAGGGGTGCCCTCTGGTGATGCTGCACAGGAAGGTGGTGGGAGAGGTCAGAGCCCCCCTACACCGTGGTGAGCTGCTGACCCTACTCCTCCTTGCACGGTGCTGTTCTGTTACCCACGGCGAAGCGGCAGGGCCTGCCCCGACCTCCCTCTCCTGTCAGGGGCCCGACCCAGCCTCCAGCGGCCGTCAGGGGCCCGTCCCGGCCTCCCGCTTCGGTCAGGGGCCTGTCCCAATCCCCTGCTCTGGGCCTGGCCTCCCCAGACTCTTCAGGTCAGGACCTAGAGGCGCAGCAAGTGGCACTGCCCATCCCAGGGACTGTGGCCGGCAAGTGCAGGCTGTCGTGTGGCCGCAGCCTGCAGGCACTGGGCTGGGCGGCCAGATGACGCCCGAGAGGCACTTGCTCCGTCATACAGCCGTGGGCCATGTCCTTTCTGGGGACTTTGTTTCACCTACTCCACTTTAGGCAAAGACACAAGCTCATACTCTGCCGGCTTCGGCTCCTTTTAGGCCCTACCCACAACCTTTTATATTACTCCTGGAAGAACAAACCAAGGTTACAAAACGCAAGGTATGCAATGCCCCCTGTTCCACGTGAATCCGCTTTGTTTTCCAAGAGAGCGCGATGTATTTGGTTATGGAGAGCGTTGCCTAACGGCAGTAAAGACCCGATGAGAGAAAAACGAGCTGAGTCATTCAATTCCCGGGTAAATAAAAACTGTTTAAGCTCAGCTTTCGGAAGGATCGGCTGTCACGTCTGAAGCAGCCTCAGGTCCAGACAGCCAACAAACGCTCCAGAAGGACCAGTCCTGGACCCTGGTGAGTGTCATCTGTGTCCTGCAGTGAGGCCCTCCCGTGTCCCAGCCGAGCACTCACCAGGCCCTGCCTGCCTGGCTTCTGGGACACCACATGGCATGGCAGGAGGCAGAGGTGGGGTGCAGCCTCCCAGCACCCCCTCGCCCCCACTGGGCAACCGCAGAATTGCACAACCATCCCCCCTACCTGCCCACCTCCCAAAAGCAACAGAATATGAGGTGCCTGGGCTACCTCCTTCACAACCAGCCTCTTCTGACCACCCCAGCACACCTCTGGCCACCAACCAGCCCTCCCGGCCAGAGCCAAGGCCTTACCCCTTCCAGAATCCAGTCCTCCCAGACAGGGCCACTCCAAAGCCCTGGCGAAGGCTGGCTGTTACATGGGGAGTCCCTCACCCCACCAGCCTTTGGGTCACTATTTTAAGTTCTGTCCAACTCCCCTATGCCAACTGTGCTTCCCTCCCAGGGTCCTCCCACCAGGGGAGTAGGTGGCAGGCCTTCATCCAGAGCATGGCAGGAGCTGGGGTGCCCCTGGCCCAGGGGAAAGGAAGGGAACACGTGGGCTAGCCTTCAATGCTACACAATTTGTCCACCAGCTCTGATAGGTACAACCTGTGACCACAGGTGAAGCACCTGTGTCCAGCTAGGCTGGGTATGTGTGCCGCAGCCCCCAGGGCCTTCTCTCTTCAGACTGGAGCGCCAGTGGAGACGGTGGCCCTAGGCAAGCAGGTCGCTGCATCCAGCTTACCTCCACGCTGGTGACATGCTGAGGCTGAGCTGCACCCCGTAAGGATTTGAGGCTGTGAGTAGGGACCTGCTCATTGAGGTGTGGGGTGCTGTGGGCTTCCCATCTTGTAATCAGGAGGCGCTGCCCCCACACCCACCATGGTGACACTGTATCAGCTGGCGAGTGCTCACCCGAGGGAGAGGGACAGGCCCCCCCCCACCCAAATGGAGGAAGAACTTGAGGGTCCCAGGGTTGGGGTGGGAAAATGTGAATTAAAGGGCCTCCTGGGAGAGACGGGCAAGACCCTTGTGAGTCTATCAAGGTCCTGGGCATTCATGAGGAGAGCCCCCGCCCTGTCCCAAGGAGAGGAGGGGCCCTAACTAGGACCTCGGGTGGCCACCCGGGCACTAAGGGTGTTCTCTGCTGGACTGTGGCTGAGTGTGAAGCAGAGAGAGAGCTGAGAATGCTGTCCCCAGGGGCGGGTGTAGAGCTGCGCTGCGGGCAGCTGTGGTGGGGCCCAGGGAGGCAGCATTTCTGCACCGAGTGAAGGGGCACAGAGACGCGAGTCTTCAGACAGACCTCAGTTGTCCCAAGCCGGGGAAACAGCCACTGGCCACAGCCTGTCTGCTGGGAGCAGGCCCCGATGGCCCCCGGGCACAGCCTGAGAGCCTCAGAAGGACAGGTATGTCCTAAGACTCCTGGGTAGGAGGTCAGGCTCAAGGGGGTCACCTTGTTGGGGACCACTGGTGGTTGCTGGGCATTTAGAATGAGGAGTCTGCAGATGGGAAACGGTGAGCATTACACGCGGGGCAGTCACAGACAATCCACTCCGAGAACATGAGTGGATCCCCCCAACCCGTGGACAAGTCAGGTAACCAAGCTGGGCCAAAGGCCCTGGGCAGGCTGAGCGTGTTGCGTACTGACCTGGCCGTCAGGGTGGGAGAAGAGGCCACTGCGGTGAAGATGTGGATCATGGCCAGCTTGCAGAGGTCAGCAGCCGAGCCTGTGGGACACAGAAGGCTGCGCTCATGAACAGTTCAAGGCTCAGAGCCCCCGCAGCAGGGCTGAGCTCAGCACGGTGCACCTGCCTGGCCACGGGAAGCCGGCGGTCTCAATGTCCTAGGCTGCGTAACACACGGCCACAAACTTAGTGGCCTAGAACAACCCACATTCATCATCTCACAGTCTCTGTGGGTCAGGAGTCACGCACATTTTGGCTGAGTCCTTTGCTCAGGGCCTCACAAGGCTGAACTCAGGGTGTTGGCTGGCTGTATCCTCATTTGAAAACTTGACTAAGGAAGATACACTTCCACAAGTCCTCAGGTTGTTGGCAGAATTCGTTTCTTTGTGGCCTAATGACTGAGACCCCTGCTTACTTTGCTGCTCCTGGCTGGGGACCTCTGAGCTCCTAGAGGCTGCTCTCAGGTCCTTGCCACAAGGCCTCTCACCAGTGTGCAGTTTGCTCCTTCAAAGTTAGAAGGAGGATATCTGCTACTGTTTCGAGTCCTTCTAACTCTGATGTCGAAACATTCTTTTAAAAGGCATACCTGATTAGGTCAGGCCCACCTAGGATAACCTCCCTCTTGATTAACTCAAAGGCAACTGATTAGGGACCTTAATTACATCCGCATCACTCCTTTTGCCATATGACATAACCTAATCAGAGGAGCGATATCCTATCATATTTACAGGTTCTGCCCACATTCAAGAGGAGACGATTATCTGGGGTGTACACACCAGGGGGTGGAATCTTGGGGGCCATTTAGAATTCTGCCTACCACACTGGCTAACAACAGAATGACAGAGCATGGCTGTGGGGGGTCAGGTAGACCTGGGCTCAAATCCAGTTCCCCAATCTGCCAGCTGCACGACCTTTTCATCTCTTTGGGCCTTGGCTCTCCCAGGTATAACGGGCTCGATAGCAACCTCTCAGGATGGTAGTAGGATAAGTTACATCAACGGCCATCCATGTAGTCCCTGACGCTGTCGCATACTCTGCCAGCGAGCCTCTTCCAGCGTCTGGCATGCAGACGGGTCTTAGTAACCAGCTCTGACAACGGGGAGGCAGATTTGAAGTTCACAGTTCTACTGGAGTCTTTAAATTGCTTAAACTGTTCATGGATCTTGAGGCTAATGACAAAATAAAAATTCTTGGTCTGTGGACCACTTCCCTCCACCGTGAGGCAACCTTCCCCAGAGACTTGACTTGCTTTGTCTCACACTATGGAGGCCATGAGCATGGCAGGAATGCTGGACGTGGAAGGGACAAAGCTCACCTGGACCCTCTGTCTCAGAGCTGTGAGGGGTCTCAGGCCCATGGGAACCCTCGGGGGGTGGGGCTGAGAGCCGGAGGCCGGGGCTCCTGGGGGCTGCCACCAGCTTGTGCCCTCCCTCCTCCCGGGCAGCAGAGAAGAGAATCTGGCTCTATAACAGTGACTTTCATTGTGACTAGAAAGTTATGTGACTGATTGTAGACAAAATATTTCCTTCTAAAGTCTGCAACTCACTGTAAGCATTCCATGGCAGAAGGTCGGTGCCCATGGCAGAAGGTCAGTGCCCGCGGCAGAAGCTTGGTGCCCATGGCAGAAGGTTGGTGCCCGCAGCAGAATCTTGGTGCACGTGGCAGAAGGTCGGTGCCCATGGCAGAAGGTCAGTGCCCATGGCAGAAGCTTGGTGCCCGAGGCAGAAGCTTGGTGCCAGTGGCAGAAGGTCAGTGCCCGTGGCAGAAGCTTGGTG